TAATTAATTAGATTAATATACTATGCATAGTTCCTTTATATAAAGGGAAGGGGGACAAAATAGTGTCAAAATTATAGGGGGATAAGCCTACTGAGTTCTCCCTGGGGAAGTGGAACAGAATTCTACTCCGTAAGCCATGCTTGTCGTAAGAGGCGACTAAAATGCCAGGAGCAAGGGGCTAGTAACTCTTTCTTCTGTATATATTACTAAACATAAAAGGAAAAGCTTTCATTTTTACTTTTGGGCCACCCCGCCTCGGTGGGATATGGCCAGTGTGTTGAAAGAAAGAAGAAAGAAGCCTACTGAGTATACCTAGTAAAGTGTATGGTAGAGCTATTATTGAAAGAATTAGAGGTAAGACGGAGAGCAGGATTGCAGATGAACAGGCAGGCTTTAGAATGGGTAGGGGATGTGTAGACCAAGTGTTTACATTGAAGCATATAAGTGAATAATATTTAGATAAAGGTAGGGAAGTTTTTGTTACTTTTATGGAAGGTTTATGATAGGGTGGATGGTGGACCAATGTTGCAGATGTTGCAAGTGTATGGAATAGGTAGTAAGTTACTAAAATGCTGTAAAGAGTTTTTATGAGGATAGTGAGGCTTAGGTTAGGGTGTGTAGGAGAGAGGGAGATTACTTTCTGGTAAAAGTAAGTCTTGGACAGGGATGTGTAGTGTCACCGTGGTTGTTTAACATATTTATAGATGGAGTTGTAAAAAAAGTAATACATACAGTGGTCCCTCATTTTTCGTAATTAATCCGTTCCTGGAGGAGCTACTATAAACGAAATTTATGATTTGCGAATCAATTTTCCCCATAAGAAATAATGTAAATACAATTAATCTGTTCCTGACACCCAGAAGTATTAAAACAAAAAATTTTTTTACATGAAATATGCATGTAGTACATAAACAATACAATGGGAAATGACGAATGAAACATTAACAGCATAACACTTACCTTTATTGGAGATTCTTCTTAGTGTATGGGAGACTGGAGGAGGAGAGAGAGTGGATTGTTTATAGTTTGGAAGGGGAATCCCCTTCCAGCAACACCTCAGGTACCAATTGCTTTTCTGGGGTTGCTTGTCTTCTCTGTTTCTTAATGCCACTAGGACCACCTTGAGAGTCACTGGAGTCCTGTCTTGCAAAATAACTGTGGAGAGAGCTCTGTTTCTGGCGTCTCTTTAACACTTCCCTAAAATGGCCCAAGACTTTGTCACTGTACATGTTGCCAACATGGCTTGCAACAACCTTGTTAGGGTGATGTTTCTCAATAAAGCTTTCCATCTTACCCCACATAGTAAAAATCTCTTTAATTTCTGAAGAAGGCACCTTCTTCCATCTCTCTTCCTCCTCCTCTGCAGCAAGATTCTGAGCTGCGATGTGTTGCTCTTCCTGCTGAAGCTCTTGCAGCTCCTCAGTGGTGAGCTCTTTGTTGTGGTCTTCCACCAATTCTTCCACATCCTCCAAACTCACATCCAACCCCATGGAACTCCCCAGTGCCACAATTGATTTTACAACAGACATAGGCTCATCAGGGTCAGTCCCAAACCCTTCAAAATCCCTCTTGTCGACACAATCTGGCCACAATTTTCTCCAGGCAGAGTTCAAAGTCCTGGTAGTCACTCCCTCTCAAGCCATACCTATAAGGGTTATGCAATGGAGGATGCTGAAGTGTTCTCTCCAAAATTCCCTTAGGGTCAAGTGAGTGTCTGTGGTCACAGTCAAGCACCTGTGAAACATTGCTTTTGTGTAGAGTTTTTTAAAGTTTGCAATGACCTGCTGGTCCATGGGCTGGAGGAGAGGAGTGGTATTTGGGGCAAGAACTTTACTGTGATGAACCCAAACTCCTCGAAAATTAGGTCATCCAAGTTTGGAGGATAAGCAGGTGCACTGTCCATTACTAGCAGGCACTTGAGATCCAATTTCTTTTCCAGGAGATATTCCTTCACACTAGGGCCAAACACTTCATTGAACCACTCGACGAAAATTTCCCTCGTGACCCATGCCTTACTATTAGATTTCCAAAACACACACAATTTACTCTTCATAACATTGTTTTTCCTGAACACTCTGGGATTTTCAGAATGGTACACTAGTAATGGCTTCACTTTGAAATCCCCACTAGCATTAGCACAGAACATTAGCATCAGCCTGTCTTTCATAGGCTTGTGTCCTGGCATTGCCTTTTCCTCTTGTGTAATGAAGGTCCTCTTTGGCATTTTCTTCCAAAAGAGGCCTGTTTCGTCACAATTGAACACTTGTTCAGGTTTCAGTCCTTCAGCCTCTATGTACTCCTGGAATTCATGCACATATTTTTCAGCCGCCTTGTAGTCCGAACTGGCAGCCTCACCATGCCTTACCACACTGTGTATGCCAGTACGGTTCTTAAATCTCTTAAACCAGCCTTTGCTGGCCTTAAATTCACTCACATCACCACTATTTGCAGGCAATTTCTTTACCAAATCGTCATGCAACTGCCTAGCCTTTTCACAAATAATCGAAGTCATAAGAGTATCTCCTGCTAATTGTTTCTCATTTATCCACACCAATAATAACTTCTCAACCTCTTCGAGTACTGGTGATCTCATTTTTGTCAGCATAGTTACCCCCTTTGTAACAACAGCATCTTTGATTTCCTTTTTCTTGGCCACTATGGAGCATCAGGTTGTGTAGGGTTTCTTATACATCCTGGCCAGTTCGGCCACACTTGTACCACTTTCATATTGTTGAATGATGGTTTTCTTAAATTCAGTCGTATTTCTCACCTTCTTTACCACAGGCTTGGCACTAGGAGCTTTCTTTGGAGCCATGGTAGCTTATTTAGTACTTGCTAGCACTAAAATAAATGGAATATGTACTATTATGAAATATTTCGCTGGAGCACGTGAGGGGACCTTCGCTCATTGGTAAACAATGCCAGACTGGCTGCCTCCACGGCTCATGCCGTGGGTATGCGTCCCGGACGAACTACGACTCGCGAGTCAACTTATGAAAAGCGAGTTCATGTTTATACGAAAATACCCCTATGATTGGCGAAGTTTACGATTGCCGGGAACTACGAAAAGCGAGGGACCACTGTACTAGGGTGTTGGGGAGAGGGGGTGGATTAAATTATGCAGATTCAAACACAAAATGGGAGTTGACACAGTTAATTTTGCTAATGATAATGTGCTTTTGGGAGATTCTGAAGAGAAGTTGCAAAGGTTAGTGGACAAGTTTGGGAGGGTGTGTAAAGGAAGAAAATTGAAAGTGAACGTGATAAGAGCAAGGTGATGAGGGCATCAAACAAATAAGATAAGGAAAAATTGGATATCAGATTGGAGGGAGGGAGTATGGAAGAAGTGAATGTGTTCAGATATCTAGGAGTGGATGTGTCAGCAGATGGGTCTATGAAGGATGAGGTGAATCATAGAATTAACGAAGGGAAAAAGGTGAGTTGTGCACTAAGGAGCCTGTGGAGACAAAGAACTTTATCCATGAAAGCAAGAGAGAAATGTATGAGAGTATAGTTAAACCAACGCTCTTATTTGGGTGTGAAGCATGGGTTGTGAATGTTGCAGTGAGAAGGAGGCTGGAGGCAGTGGAAATGTCGTGTCTAAGGGCAGTGTGTGGCATAATTATTATGCAGAGAAGTACAGTGCCTGCACTTTAAAGGAGGGGTTTGGGATTTTTGCTGTTTGGAGTGACATCTGAACTGTTGTATCAGCATGCCTCTGTAAAGACAGTGATTGTGTGAATGATGGCACAAGTGTTTCTTTATTTTTTGGGTCATTCTGCCTCAGTGTTAAAAAAAAAAATGATGAGTCTGCTAAGACTCATTCAGTAAAAAACCAAGGTTGCAGTAACTACATCATGCCACTCATAAATTTTGCCTTTTTATGCCTCTGTAGTCCAGCTGCAGCATCAACTGGTTCTTACTCGTCTTGGAGATTTGGACATTTTTTTATCAGCTTTCAATCTGCAGGAAGGCAAGAGAACTAAAAAAGCAACCACTGTGACATCTGCACCTGCTTGTGTAGAGTGGGAGATAATAACTTTTCATGTGACACAACTTGAATAATTTAAAAATTTGTTTGGTAGTCAACAAAAGATTTTTTAATTTAGATGCCATGTGTTAAATTTGGTATAAATTTTTTTATCCTCTAATGGACTGTTCATAAACTACAGTTTGTGTATTTTCCTGTGCTATATGGGGATGCAGGAATTTAAGAGTTGGAAAGTTCTTTAAACTTGTTCAAGCTAAATCTTTAAATGTTTTGTGATTAAATCAGTGCACAACTGATTACTCCAGTGTCATAATAGTGCTACACTTGATATTTTAAAACTGCCATTCACATGGTAAGTACAAGCATCTTACTACATGTGGTGTTTTCAGTGACCTTGTCAAATTATTTTTTTTAAATTGTTCAGGTGTTCCCAACAGATATCTGAGGTAAAGCTGCTCTTAAAATATGAGGACTCAAGTAGCACTTCCATCATTTGCAGCTTGCCTGCTTATTAAATTTGTCATTTTATATGAAGTATTAATAAGACATCCACAGCATATTCAATTTCGTGATGACTACTGTACAAGCACATTTTAGCGAGGTATGACTTGTACTCTATTTTAGTAAAGGTAATACATATGTAGACAAGAGCACTACTGTGTCTTGCTTTTGATTATGCATTTGAAGCAATTTTATGAGTGCTTGTGTCTTACAACAGATACAAAGCTAAGGAAATGGGCAAGGAATTCCTTCCTGATCATCCTCAGTGATTGATCATTATCTAGTTATGTTTTATCCTCATTAAGGTGTATAAAAGCTTGACCGTTACAATATAAATTACGTATGTGTTGTACAGGATGAACATGTATTGATATAGAAATATTTAAAAGTATTTTATGCATTTTAGTATTATTTCATGTACTGTAGCATGGAGCTGATAGTACTGAAGTAGAGCAGATAACTAATTTTTTTTTTCAACAGAATTGTCAGAAATGTTTGAATTTTACAGGTTGCCTTAGAATTTTATCAGCGAAAACGTGGAAGATGGCCATTTGCTACAGAAAGTATTCCTTGGGAAGTGTGGACACTGAGGGTGAATGTAGTTTCTTTAAATAATGAACATGGTAAGAAGTTATGTACAGCACTGTATATGTAATCCAGTAATTTAAAAAAAAATCAAATACAGCCTTTCCTTGCTTAACGACAGAGTTTCACTACTAAGACCATGTCAGTAAATGAATTCGTCGCTAAGTGAGGAACATACTATAATGGTAGTGAGTTGGTGTCATCTATCTTTGATATTGTTTTAATGTCACCTTGGCCACATTTATAACATTTCTGGTATATTTTTAAATGTTTATACAGTAGTGTACTGTATATTGTAATAAACAGAATAGGGGAAATCGGCTCTAGTATACATTATTTAGGCATGCATACTGGTCAGAGAGCCCATAGTAATTCCGAGGCGGCGGTAAACGAGTACGTCGCTAAGTGAGGAGAGGCTCTATAGTACAGTGGACCCTGGTTATCAGCCATAATCCATTCCAGAAGGTCAGCCTAAAACTGAAATGGCCTAAAACCGAAATAATATATCCCATAAAAATTAATGTAAATGGTTGCTTATTTCGCAGTTGCACTCGATCAATAACCACAAAAAACGATGGATTATAGCGAAATATTTGCATGAATGAGCAGAAGTTTCCTCACTCGCCCAGAGACACAGCCACGACTGACTCACGTACATGCGAGCGGTGGGCGGGCAGGCGGGTGGATGCGGCCAATAAGCAAAATAACGGCCAAGAACCGGAATAAATTTTCAGCCAAAATGGGCGATAACCGAGGGTCCACTGTACTCCTTTTTTAATAGGGATGCTCTCAATATTACAGATAATTACAGTTACTGTTTTAGAAAATATTGAAAGTAATTTAACACCAGTAGATTTTTTCTCTACAGTTTATAAATAGTACTGTATATTGCAATAATTTCATTATAAAGGCTTGATTCATTATATTAAAGCTATAAATTTATACAATTAAGTTTTAATGTAGAATGTGGTCACTGTAAACTAAGCATTTGCACATTTTGTTGTACAGGAGGGCCCCGTTTTTTTTTGGCTGGTCCCAACCCCTGCCGATAAGTGAAAATCACCCGCAAGTGGAAAAGTGATTTTTTCAAGTTTCAAATGCATCAAAAATGCCTGATAAGATGTTTACACTATCATATATTAAATGCTCAATACATCTAGGCCTCAAAAAAATGTGAAAGTAAATTTAATATTCGATGCATACAATACTTACCTTAAAATATGGCACCAGAAACCTTTCCCTTACACTGCTATTGGTCAGAAAACAGAAAAAGTGCCAAAAATAATGAACAATGGTTCATTTGAAAACTGCCAACATAGTTTGACACTGAAGAGAGGCCGCTGGAAACACGGGGGCCCTCCTGTACTGAGCTACAAATTTTTGACTCCTATGTATTTTTCTAATTTCCTAATCATAATATGTTTCTTGTTCAATGGTTGTATTCTATTTACATAAGTATTTCAGTTCAGACTTTGATTTTTATTCAGTACTCAAGTTATGACTTGCTATTCCATCTTGTTCTCATGATAAAACTGTGAAGAGGCAGTCTTAAGCAATACAGTAGCATTTCTCGAAAAAATATAGCAGTAGTGTTTATTTACTGCTCATGTTTGCATTTGTTTTTAAGATTTTTTGGAACTGGTTAGCTGGATTCGCATCCTAGAGGTAGGAAGTACACTGCCTGCATTCTAAAGATGGATGAGGATATTGCAGACATAGGAACTTGCTGTACATCTTGTTCTCTGGATTCATTAATTTTCATGCCTAATTGTAGACAAGGTTTATTTTGAAAAGTTACAGAGAATGTTTCTGTATTAAAGTTAAGTTTATTTTTTATTACATATATGTTAACTTTCTTTAGTTCGTCATTAACTACAGTGTTTAAAATCTGGGTCACATCATAAATAAGCTAAAGGTTGTGTTGTCAGCAAAGGCTTAAGATGCTAGGTGACATTCAGTAAGTCATTGATGTAGAGAAGGAAGAGAAGAGGACCCAGGATTCTTCTTTGGGGACATCAAATTTAACCCTTAAACTGTCCAAACGTAGATCTACATTTTTTCAACATTTGAAAGTATGTAAAAAAACAGATTTTTTTTACATTTGAAAGCATGTAAAAAAAAAACTTTTTTTTTTTTTGTTATATTTGAAAATATGTAAAAAAACGAGATCTGCTTTTGGAACACTATGCATGTGAATGTAGATCTATGTTTGGACAGTTTAAGGGTTAATGGTTGATTAGATATTGGTATTGTTGATTTGATTACCACCTTTGTTGGTAGGTTTTCTCCTGGCTCTGTTGAGACAGCCTAGAAAAGTATTTTTAAAATGATTTATTGAAAAGTATTGAAATAGGTGGAGATGATAATATTTGAGCAGTTTTCTTGTAGAAAATATGGGTATTACTTCTGTAATATCCTTCATTTAATTTAGTGATTGATTCCAATTCAAAAGTTGTGACAGGAGCCAAGTAGGACTTTGGGGAATTATTAGTCAGATAGCTCCTGATGTTGGTATGGGTTACTGGGATGTTTTTTGTGAGATTAGTTCCTACTGAAGAGAATTGTTAAGCTTATTCACAGTAATAGTAGTTAAAAGGCGGTCTTCCTTTGCTTCTAGAGGATTTTACAATAGAATATGAGAGAGGGGTTTTTACAGTTTTAAATTTATACTGGATTTGTTAAATCTATTAGAATAGTATTTTTGTGCAGAATTTATCTAGTGTTTCCTGATATCCATCATACTTATTATACCTGTATAAAATGTGAAAATTAATATAAATATATTTTCCACAGAGCGACAGATCTGGCGAGAAAAAGTCGGGGAATCTCTTGGAGATAGATTACTACATATAACAGACACATTGAATCGCCATGATTATATCCCATCACCTCCAAATCAGGCAGAAATTGATTTTATATATGACACAACTTTCCCAGATGTCCAACCTTTCCTTTTTAAGGCGAGTTGTATGAAAGGTTTTCATGTACATCTGTTCCAGACATTGACTCAGTAATTTGTGCGTGGTTATTTCCTAGAGGTGACCCAAGTCCTGAAACCATGGATAATAGGAAATTTTGCATGTCCAAATTATTTAACCCTTTCAGGGTCCAGACCCCTGATCTGAAAGTTGCTCTCAGGTTCAAGAATTTATAAAAAAAAAATTCTTGTGAAATGAAAGAGAATCTTCTTGTAAGGGTAATGAAACCATAAGTACGAATTTGATGGAAAACTCATGGGATTACGCTCTCGCAAAGTTGGTGGTCTTAGCGTTGTTTATGCATCGGTGATTTCACCCACTTTGAGTCCTATTTTAACCCTTTCAGGGTCCGTCCCGTAGATCTACGGCTTTACGTTCAGGGTCCAAACCGTAGATCTACGCCATGAGCTCAGCTCACTATGATAAACTGTGAGTGGTACATTTGGGCCTAGATATGAGAGAATACATCTATGTGGTATGTGTACACCACATAAAACAGATCCTGCAGCACACTGTGTATAATGAGAGAAAAAAATGAAATCATGATTTTTCGATTAAAACAGCAACTTTGCAGTGTTTTTTCGTATGTTTTTTATAGTTGTATTTGCGATTTCTTGGTCTCATTTGATAGAATGGAAGACATATTACAGAAATAGAGATGATTTTGATTGGTTTTAGCACTGGAAATGGCTTGAAACTGAGCTCAAAGTAGCAGAAATGTTAAATTTTTGCCGATATTCAAGAGTAAACAAACGACCTCACACGTCTAATACACGTCAGCTGGTGGGTCTAATATACATTCACAAATATGGTGATGATATTTATACAATTATTACAGTATTGCATAACAGTAAATCTTCTATTTTTTGGTGTGAATAAAAATTCATTATGTGAATAAAAAATCAAAATGGAATTTATTTGTAAAGCCTCAAAACATAACTAATGAACAGAGGAAATGTTAGTTTAGTGCCAGGAATGCCTACATTGTTCATTCTGGACCCCATTTTGAAATTGGAATATTTTGAACTTTGTGTTAAATTGGCCAAATTAACAATTTCCAATCACTTTATTTTGTAGTTGAAACAGTTGACTTGGCGATTTCTTGTGCTCAATCGATAGAATAGAAGTAATACTAGTGAAATAGCTAAGAATTTGGTTGATTGGAATAATGTACATAATTGGCCTAAAATGGGAGACAAAGTCGGCAAAATCGCCGATTCGTAAATATCGCTGACACATCAAAATTCGCAAGAGCATAATTTCGTCAATTTTCCACCAAATTTCGTACTTTTTGTTTTATTACCTTCACAAAAAGATTCTCTACGATTTCATAAGAAAAAATAACAAATTTTTTTTTTGAAAATTCTTGGACACTGGTGCGTGACTCCAGATTTGGGCCTTGGACCCTGAAAGGGTTAAGCTAATTCAGCCCAGTATTTACGCATCAAAGTAGAATGACATGGAGAGCATTTAAATCTATAGGGGAAGGAAGGCGGGGTAGGGGTCGTCCTCAAAAAGGAGGAAGGGGTAAGGGAGGTTTTGTGGGTGAGGGGCTTGGACTTCCAGCAGGCGTGCATGAGCATGTTCGATAGGAGTGAATGGAGACGAATGGTATTTGGGACCTGACGATCTGTTGATGTGTGAGCAGGGTAATATTTAGTGAAGGGATTCAGGGAAACTGGTTATTTTTATATAGCTGGACTTGAGTCCTGGAAATGGGAAGTACAATGCCTACACTCTAAAGGAGGGCTTTCGGGATATTAGCAGTTTGGAGGGACATGTTGTGTATCTTTTTACATATATGCTTTTAAACTGTTGTGTTCTGAGCACCTCTGCAAAAACAGTGATTATGTGTGAGTGAGGTGAAAGTGTTGAATGATGATGAAAGTATTTTCTTTTTGAGGATTTTCTTTCTTTTTGGGTCACCCGGCCTCTGTGGGATACGGCCGACTTGTTAAAAAAAAAAAATTACGCATCAGTGATTTCACAGACTTAATTATAGCCTATAATTATAGGCTGACTGGCCTATAATTATAGGCCAGTCAGCCAAACTCTTAGCTATTTCGCTAGTATAACCTTTCATTCTGTCGATTGAGTACAAGAAGCCCCTCATTTAACTATTTCAACTACCTTATAAAGTGGTCAGAAATTGGTAATTTGGCCAATTTCACACAAATTTAAAAAGATGCCAGTTTCAAAATAGGGTCCAGAATAAACAATGCAGACATTCCTTGCACTAAAATAACATTTTCTCTGTTCATTAGTCACATCTCCAGGCCCCCTCTTATATTATGCTTGCTTTCCATTTTGAATATTTATTCATTCAAAGAAATAGAAGATTTACTGTTATGCAGACTACTGCAGTAGTGTAATAATTGTATAAATAATGTCAACCCATTCGTGACTGTGTATTAGACTGGCCAGTTGGACATGTATTGGACGATGATATCATTTGTTTACTCTTGAACATCAGCAAAAATCGAACATTTCCGCTATTTTGAGCTCAATGTTAAGGTACTTTCCAGCGTGAAACCAATGAAAATTGTATCTGTTTCTGTAAAATATGTTCCAATCTATCAAATGAGACAAAAAAAATGAGAATGCAACTATACAAAAATTTACCGCAAAGTCGGGTTTACACCATAAACACAATCACTGTTTTTTCTCATTATGTCCTGCGTGCAGCAAGATTTTTTTTATGTAGTGCACACTTACCACACAGGCCTATTCTCTCATATGTAGGCCCAAATTTACCAGTCACAGATGGAGTGAGCTGAGCTTATGATGACTGACATTGGCTTCAAAGCCACTTTTTCTTTTATGACAATGTACAGCTTATGTGTTTTACACAATGAGAAGCATTTCTTTTATTCGTTGGAACCATGGCTAGAGCTAAAAGTGAGCAGGTTATAACAATAACTGGAGAAAAGGAAATTGGAATGACTTGTGCAGCAAGTAGCACCACCAAACAGTAGCGGCAGGGTGGTGTGGCGACCCCGGAAATTTGAAGTCATGTTAGCCAAAATTAGTGTCGGATTACTGATGGAACAGGATTACTGATGGCCAACCTGTATATGTAGTGAATATAGATAATAGTAAGGTGATGAAGGTATCAAACAATTTAGATAAAGAAAAACTGGATATCACATTGGAGAGAGAGAGTATGGAAGAAGTGAATGTTTTCAGATATTTGGGAGTTGACATGTCAGTGGATGGGTTTATGAAGGATGAGGTAAACCATAGAACTGGTGAAAGAAAAAAGGTGAGTGGTGAGTTGAGGTATCTGTGGAGACAAAGAAAGTTATCCATGGGGGCAGAGAAGGGAATGTACGAGAGTATAGTGGTACCAACACTCTTACATGGGTGTGAAGCATGGGTTGTAAATGCTGCAGCGAGGAGGTGGCTGGAGGCAGTGGAGATGTTATGTCTAAGGGCAGTGTGTGGTGTATATATAATGCAGAGAATTCTTATTTTTTTTTTTTTTTTATTATCACACTGGCCGATTCCCACCAAGGCAGGGTGGCCCGAAAAAGAAAAACTTTCACCATCATTCACTCCATCACTGTCTTGCCAGAAGGGTGCTTTACACTACAGTTTTTAAACTGCAACATTAACACCCCTCCTTCAGAGTGCAGGCACTGTACTTCCCATCTCCAGGACTCAAGTCCGGCCTGCCGGTTTCCCTGAACCCCTTCATAAATGTTACTTTGCTCACACTCCAACAGCACGTCAAGTATTAAAAACGAATTCTCTCTGCAGAGAATTCGTAGTGTGGAAATTAGGAGTTAATAAAAGTATTAGTCAGAGGGCTGAAGAGGGGTTGTTGAGGTGGTTTGGTCATTTATAGAGAATGGAACAAAGTAGAATGACTTGGAGAGCATATAAATCTATTGGGGGAGGAAGGCAGGGTAGGGGTCATCCCCAAAAAGGTTGGAGGGAAGGAGTTTTGTGGGTGAGGGGCTTGGACTTCCAGTATGTGTGCGTGAGCGTGTTAGATAGGAGTGAATGGAGACGAATGGTATTTGGGACCTGACGAATGGTTGGAGTGTGAGCAGGGTAATACAAGTGTCCCTCAACATTCGTGAGGGTTAGGGGATCAAGAGCCTCGCGAATGTTGAAAAACCGTGAATGTTTGGTGCCCCAATATATTGTAGGGAAATATAATACAATACTGCTTAACTTGTTGAACCATGAACAATCATAAAATACATGAAAACGTCGTAAGTTGTACTAAATATATACGTACATGTTATGCTTTAATAACATGTATGTTATTAAATACCACAGACTCCACCACTGCCTCCACCACTTCCTCAACCAATGCCAGTCCCTACTACCCTCCCTCCGACCCCCGCAACTGGCAGCCGGCCCTCCCACCACTCAGTGTGGTGAGTGTTTTGTTTGTTCATTATTTGCTATTAAACTACAGTATAAATAATGTAAACACATTCATGACTGCATATTGGAATGGCTATTTGAACAGGTATTGGATGGTGACATCATGTGTTTACTCTTGAACACAGCAAAGAATCAAACATTTCTGCTACTGCTAAATAATAACAATAATAATAATAATAATAATAATAATAATAATAATAATAATAATAATAATAATAATAAATATTTTTTTTATTTTTTTTTATTATCACACCGGCCGATTCCCACCAAGGCAGGGTGGCCCGAAAAAAGAAAAACTTTCACCATCATTCACTCCATCACTGTCTTGCCAGAAGGGTGCTTTACACTACAGTTTTTAAACTGCAACATTAACCACCCCTCCTTCAGAGTGCAGGCACTGTACTCCCATCTCCAGGACTCAAGTCCGGCCTGCCGGTTTCCCTGAATCCCTTCATAAATGTTACTTTGCTCACACTCCAACAGCACGTCAAGTATTAAAACCATTTGTTCTCCATTCACTCCTATCAAACACGCTCACGCATGCCTGCTGGAAGTCCAAGCCCCTCGCACACAAAACCTCCTTT